GGGCTGGACTCCTCCAAGTGGTTCAAGATGTGAGGGGCTGGCCAGGGAGGGGAGCGCCTGGGGCATTTCCTGTGCTCTCTTTGAAGAACTGAAAACAAAGGCAGTGTGTTTTGGGGTGGGAGGGGCATCTGGGCCTGTCTGGCCCCTGCGTTTCAGACGAGTCAGGGCCTGGTGAGGACCTGCGAGGGGTGAGGACCCTGAGTTTGGATGGAGGCAGCTGGGGTCATCACTGCGGTGGCAGGGGTGGGCCACTTTCCACAGGGGACGACTTCCTGGGTCTGCTGCTGCCTCGGCCTTGCTGCCCGTCTGTCCGGGTCTGTCTGTGGTCTGTCCGAGACCATGCTGGCCCCTCGCCTGCACCACCCCGACCCGGGCAAGGAGGGCTGAGCACTTCGTAGGGTCTGGGGGGCCATTATCCAGCGTGGAGGCAGGACGGGGCCGCACCCCCATCAAGCCCTTCCCTAGCTGTCCTCACGCTCTGCCTTGGGTCAGCCAAGGGTCACGTGCCAGTTGCTGACAATGACCCCAGGCAGGACCCCAGCTGCCCTCACTGACAGGTGCAGCCTAGGCCCCTGCCCAGATAGGAGATGCTGTAGGAGGTCAGAGCCCACATGGCGGTCAGGCGGCAGGGTGCAGGGTGCAGGTGCGGAGCCCAGCCGGGGCTGGGGCCAGTCATGACCAGCGCGTGCCCTGATGGGCCTGGAGACTGTGCCGGCCTCGCCCTGGCACTGACGGTGGACAGTGGGGAGAGAAGGAGGGGAGGGGTGGACGATCTTAGCCCCTCCCCTTCCTTGCTCACCTGGTAGGAGACACCTGTAGAGAAGACAGAACAGGTGAGGTGGAAACCCGGCTTCTGAATGAAATCTGGCCACCTCTGTGTGCTCATGGCTCCATGTGGCTGGGTCCCAGTAAATTCTAGGCGAACTGTGGAAGTTCAGTTCTCCTTCAGAGGGCACCTCAGGCCAGGGGGTGGCTGCGGGGGCGGCCTGGAGCCAAGAGGGGCCCAGCCTGAGCACCTTTGCCTCCCATCCCCCACCTAGTGCTGGACCCCGGGGGTGCTCATTCCTGGGGCAGCCTCTGCCTCCAGCAGGGGCGCCCAGGAGAGTCCAGTGTGGGCCGCAGAACTCAGAGGTCCCACCTGCCCTGGGGCGGTCCAGCCTTTGGGGCTGCGACTCACACACCCTTGTCTCCTCTGGGCTTGTGAGGCTCTGGGCTATAGGGCTGGGCAGGTGACATCCCAGCACCTGGAGGCAGGCCCTACCCTTCTTTGTATGGGTTGGAGGCACCTGCCTCGGGCCCAGGAGGAGGCTTCCACCACCAGCAGAGTGGGGTCCCCACCACATTCCTCTGGGGCAGGTGGAGGACAGGAGTCCTCAGTCCTGGGGGCAGAGGGGGTGCATCCAAGGCCCCAGGCCCTGGGCTGGCCACCTTGGGGGGCCTGCGTCCAGTGTCAGGGAATGTCGGTGAGATCTCTGACCCCCATCCTTTCATCCTCTCTGGTCTCGGACTCCATCAGGAAACTTCCATGGCCTCTGTCGCTTCAGGAGGAAATCCAGACTCCTCCCGGTCTGACCCCGAACCCGCCCTTGGCAGTGGTTCCTCCCCTGTCAGGCGGCTAAGGTGGCCCGACCCTGCTTGCAGAGTATGTCCAGGCCCCTGTCTAGAACAACTCTGTGTTATCACGTCTGTCTGCGCCGGCCTTGTCTCTGCTGTGCATGGGGTGAAGGCTCTGGGGCTTGACGGAAACCCAGAGGAGCTGGTTGCATCGAGAGCTGCTGTGCTACCTATAATGCTGGACTGTCTGCTGGTGAGCTGTGACTCCCCCACCCCCAGGCTGGAATCTGAGTTGGAGGGGATGCAGGCTCCCCAGGGGAGTGGACGGGCCCAGGGCCTTTCATTGGAATCTCACGGTCCAATGCCATGGTGTGACGCCTGCGTAAGGAAGAGGTGGCCGCCTCGGCCAAAGGGCCCCTGGGACACAGAAAGGGGCTTGGCCCAGGTTGGGACAGCTGGGGAGCCGCGGGGTCCAGCGACGCGGGCGTGGATGGCTGTGCAGTTGGGCGGGAGCATTTGGCCGCAGACAGAAGGGGCTGGCCCAGCAGGGAGGGCACAGGGGAGCCCTCGTGTTCCCGGCAAGAGAGAGGCAAATGCTGGTGCTGCCCCTCACCGCTGGTGCCTGAGCCCGGCCCATGCACAGCTGCTGCTCCCTGTGGGATTCTGTGTCCAGGTTGCCATGTGGCTGGACATCCTTGTCCCTGGGGCCCGGCTCTAGTGTCCCCTGCCAGTCTCCCTATGCCTGCCCCCTAGTTCCTGTACCACTGAGTTTCACAGGCTCCCCTCCCATGCGATGGCCTGTGGGGCCGGAAGACACCCCGCCGTGAATGAGCTGTCCAGGCCACTCCCGGACAGCAGTACTGAGGAAGTGGAGCTGGGGTCAGAAGACCCTGAGACCTGAGCTGGAGCTTCCGCTCAGTCCCGGAGGCCGCAGACCTCAGCTGTCTGTGGGGAGAGGGGAGACCCCCTGGCTCAGCAGCCCCCTGCGTGGTTATTCAGTGTGGATTCTAGAATGAACTGGAAACTCTGGAGGTCTCAATGCCTGTCCCCACATCCAGTGCAGACTGGAGAGGGAGGGGACTCTCTGATGTTCCCCCTCCGGCCCAGCTGCCTTGGCCAGGGCTGCCCAGTGGCCTCAGTGACTGGACTCCCCAGCCAAGGAGAACTGGGATCCCGCCCTCGGTGAGTTCCAGGCACTGCAGTTCAGATCTGTTAAAACATCCACCACTGAACATCAGGATAAAATCTGTCCTGTTTACAGGACATCTGCTTCTGACACTTGGCTGCACAGCTGTGTGACCAAATGTTAGACATCTTTGGTTTTCTGTGTGGCAATTTCTAACCTGTAGACGGTGCTGTGGGGGTTTGGACATGTGACCGACCTGGCCATGTGACCTCTGACCAGATGAGGGTCACAGGCAGAGAACTGGAGGCCACCTCAGCGTTCCCTGGGAGGGCTGCCATCAGATGGAAACTTCTAGAAGTTCCCCCAGATGCTCAGGATTGTCCTGGACAGTGGAAGGAGGTTCATTTCACCCTCCCAGTGAAGCCTTCCCACAGTCGGTGTTTCTGTAGCCCATGGGCGCTTTCCTCCCTTGTCCGCCACAGGAGGCCAGCCCAGCTGGGGTGGGTGTTTGGGGCTTCCCTGGGCCAGCAGCTCACGCACAGCCCTCTGCGGGACCAGGTCCTCCCCAGAGAGAGGGATTCAGTACCACTTCCGCCTCAGCTCCCTCTGGACCTCAGGACACAACGCCTTTTCCAGCTTGAGGTCACAGAGCCCCAGAACAGAGACTTAGGCCCCAGAGGGGGCAGATACAGAGTGCGGGCCTGGAGGCCCCCAGCCCGAGGCCCCACTGCTGCTCACTCGCTCATGTCAGGCACGGCTAGGAGAGTGCAGGGGCCACCAGGTCCTGTAGGACTAGGCAGCTCCAGGTCAGGGGCACCCCAGCTCTGGGCCTTGTCTTCCCATCTGTCAACGAGGGGCCTGATCTTCCAGCTCCCTCCCTTTCTGTGGAAGCAACAGGGCCTGGGCTCTCTGACAGGGCTCCAGGGAGGAGGGGGCGCTGAGCCTCTGGACCAAAGGACCCTTGTTCCTGAGTGGCCTGTCCAGCCACACTGAGGCCTCTGCAGCGCAGCTGCCCATGGCCCACAGGCAGCCTGACCCCACCCAGGGACACCTGGCCCTTCGGGTGCTGTTTCCTGGTGGGGCCACCTCCACCTGCCTGGGGACAGCCAGATGCTGGGGACCCCACATCTGCCCTCCTGCCAGCCCCACCCACCAGCGGCTCCTGGGATCTCCCCTGGATGCTTCTCAGGACCCCAGACGCCCCAGGAGTCTTCCTGAGTGTCCCATGCCACCAGCTGCCCAGGCTGGAATTGGGTGGTGCGCAGGGTCCCCTCCCTCTTGCCACTGTCCCCCTCCCTCCTGCCCAGCCCCAGCTCTGCCCGATTTAACCCCTGTCATGTTTCGGTCTGGTCACCACTCAGCCTCCAGGCCGGCCCTTGCCCCCAGCCCTCCCAAAATGCCAGTGCGGAGCGTCCTGCATCAGGTCACCCCAGGACAGAACCCCGTCTCCGCCAGCCTGACCTCCTGGTCCTTTCTCCCTCCAGCCTGGGGCTTGGGGACCACCCAGAGATCCCTGCGGTTCTGCTTTTTTCTTGCTTCCCTTCACTTGCCCCCTTTCTGCTGCCCGTGGCCTGGTGGACACCCATGCCCCTCTTGCGAGGCTACAGGCATAGCCACCCTGGGACGCCTTGCTCAGGGCTGGGCTGGCTGAGGGTACACTTGCTTCCACATCACAGTTCCCATATGTCTGTTGAGTGGTCTGGAGAGCTGGTCTCTTCTGTGAGTCTCAGTTTCCCCACGTATACGCAGGAGACTGGGGCTGTGGTTTTGCTCAGGGCCAGCCTGCAGGGATCCTGGCTGGGGTCTGGCTGTGGAGGGGCGTACAGGTCTGGCTGCCCTTGCCTGCGGCTTTCCCCGAGAGGAGGACCCTACCTGTGGGCTGGGTGAAGGACTTCAAGGGGAGAGAGGCCAGGGTGGGCCAGGAAGCCCTGCTGGGATGGGCTGAGGTCCCACAGGCAGGCAGGTCCCACATGCGGGGTGGTCTAACACTGGGCCCTGTAGGGCTCACGCCCTTCCACAGCCTCTCTGGCCTGGCATTGCCTTCTCCCTGTGCCTGATAATGGCTCCTCTTGTGTTTTCAGAACAGGCACAGTGCCTAGGGTCCCAGTGGCTGGAGAGGAGCCCGAATGACCTGAAGTCCCTCTCCAGACCATGCCCCCACTCCACAGCCGGCAGGACGGGGCCGCTGCGGGCCAAAGCTCTCCAGACGAGCCTTCTCCCGGGGAGAGGACTTCCTGGGTCCCTTCCAACTCTGGGACTCTGGGATTGGGGTCATCATGACTCAGCAGCTGGAGATGACTCAGGCACTGTCAGATTGACCGCTGAGCCATTTGGGAGTCCATGACTTGGCTGTTTTAGAAGCCGTGATGCACTGATCTCCCCCTGCGGGAGTTGGGAACGTGAAGGTTCCGCCAGTCACAGTTTTCAGATACGGCTGAAATGTGAATATCCTGATTGAAGTGTTGAGACGATGATTACGTGTATCTGAGATTTCAAGTGGTGTGTCTGTTTCCAGTGCAGCGGGGCAGCCTAGAAATCTGAGGGGTGATTGTGAGTAACATTCCTGGTTTCAGCCGCCTCACGTGCGTGTGTTTGTTTCTGTTGCAGTGATAACCCAAGTGACAGCTCAGTGACCAGGACCTGAGGCTTTCAGCACAAACGGCAAGAGATTCAAGTAGAAAAGCAGGTAAGAAGCCTGTGCTATTAAGCTGGTATTCCTCTTCTCTCTTTCTCTTTCTTTCTTTCTTTCCTTTCTTTCCTTTCTTTCCTTTCTCTCCTTTCTCTCTTTCTCTCTTTCTTTCTTTTCTTTCCCCTTCCTTCCTTCCTTCCTTCCTTCCTTCCTTCCTTCCTTCCTTCCT